CCATCCACGGGTCTGCGGGCTACTGGTCAGCAGCAGCACTTGCTAGGGTCTGCAACCTTCCGTCAGTCATCCTTCTCCTGTGTTTCTTTTGCTTTTGTATGTGCTTTTGTACCAGTCCTGGGGCTTGAAATCAGGACCGGGGTGCTGTCCTTGAGCTTTAGTGCTCAAGACTGGTGCTATACTTACTTGAATTGCAGCTCCACTTCCAGCTCTTTGAATTAATTGGAGGTAAGAGTCACAGACTTTACTGCCCAGGTTGGCTTTGAACCTTGATCCTCAGATCTCATCCTCCTGAGTAGTTAGGATTACAGGCATGAGCCACCAGCATCCAGCCTATTACACACACACACAGACACACACAGACACACACAGACACACACACACACACACACACACACACACACACACACACCCTGTGTTCAACCTTTATCTGATTGGGTCAGGTGCATGTTCTGGGTGACCTGAGCCAGCAGGGTGGGGCTGGGTTTACAGAGAGTTATAACCGCACTCAGCAGGCAGCCTGAGAAGAGATGGAAGGTTTTCCCCTGGCCCTCACTCCAGATGTGCTTCTTATAAATTAATATCCAGCCTCCACCAAATGGCTTTTCCTTTGAATTTCCCGGTTGTTGCAATGCTTGTAAAAAGGTTTCTGCTTGGGTGAAGTGATCTGCTGGGGGAGGGGGAGAGGGGAAGCAGAGGAAGCATTGTGTTCCTCCTGGGACAGGGGTGCTTTTCTGGGCTATAGAGCCACCTTTTCCTGCACAGCCAGCTGTCCTTAAGTCTCCTGGGTAGGGAACAGGCGCACTAACTATACAAACAAGCAGAATTTCAGCAAACTCCCGCGGATGGCATGTACTCAAAGACAGTATGGGTGCTGGGGTTCTTTAATTTTTTGGGGGGGGTCCAGTCATGGGGCCTGAATTCTGGGCCTGGGCGCTGTCCCTCAGCTCTTCAGCTCAAGGCTAGCGCTCTACCACTTGAGCCACAGCGCCACTTCTGGCTTTTTTTCTTTTTGCATATGTAGTGCTGAGGAATCGAACCCAGGGCCTCATGCATGCAAGGCAAGCACTCTACCACTGAGCCACTTTCCCAGCCCTCTTTAATTTTTTTTTAACATCACAAAATAAATCCTTTAGTGCTTTGCCTTTACATACATTGGAGTATTCTAGGTAGAATGTTAGTTCGCTTTGGCCATCACTTTTAGCTCCTGTTTCTTCAGACTCTGCTTGCTTTGCTTGCTTGCTTTTTGGTTGTGGGTCTTGAACTCAGGGCCTGGATGCTGTCCCTGAGCTCTTCAGCTCAAGGCTAGCACTCTACCACTCGAGCCAGAGCACCACTTTCCATTTTCTGGTGTTAATTGGAGATAAGAGTCTCACAGGACGTTCCTGCCTGGGCCCTCTGTGAACCGCAATCCTCAGATCTCAACCTCCTAAATAGCTAGTATTACAGGCGTGAGCCACTGGTGCCTGCCTATATGTGCTTTCTTGAACAAGAGTAGTGCTCTACCATTTGAGCCAAACCTCCAGGCTGGGATCTTAACTTAATTGGACATGAGTCTGGTGGAGTTTTCTGCCTGGCCTGGCTTTGAAACAAGATCCTCAGAGCTCAGCCTCCCAAGTGGTTGGGATTACAGGTCTGAACACCAGTACCCTGCTCCTATGTTTTGTTTTTCGAGTCTCCTATACAGCTAATTAATCCCAGTCTTTTGCAGTTTACCAATACATCTGTGAACACATCTTTCATTATGGCTCCTTTTTCACAAGCATGAATTTTCCCCTAGAACAACTCATGAAAAATTGAATTACCAAATGTATGCCTGTTATTTTTTAATTTTCAACCCAATCAATATTACCTACATATAGTTTTGTTTGATTGTTTGTGCCAGCACTGGGGCTTGACCTCAAGGCCTTGAACTCTTTCCTGGCTTTATTGCTCAAGGCTGGTGCTCTACCACTTAGCCACAACGTTACTTCCAATTTGTGTATAGTTTTAAATTCATGGAGCTCTACAAAGAAAAGTGTATGAAAAACCACAGCCCAGGGGCCCACCAACTCTTTTTGCCCAGAAGCCACAACTTTTAATGTGGGCTGATTTAAGGGATGGGAGTGGCAATTTAATCCAGGCTTCTGAGTGACAGACTTCATTGCTGCTTCTTGAGATTTTTTTTTTTTTCTGTTTTCAGCACCATTTTGGACTTTGCAAAATACAAGAATTCAATTTTCAGAGCTGGGAGTGTAGCTCAGGGTAGAGCACGTGCACAAGGCCCTGGGTTTCATCCTCAGCCCCATCACACACACATGTACACACACACACACACAGAGGCTGGGCACTGGTGGCTCACACCTGCTATCCTAGCTCTTCAGGAGGCTGAGATCTGAGGATCACAGTTAGAAGCCAGACCAGGAAGAAATTCCTTGAGACTTTTAGCTTCAATTAACTGCCAAAAAGCTGAAAGTGGGGCTGTGGTTCAAGTGTAGAGTGCCAGCCTTGAGCAAAAGGAGAATGCCCAGACCCTGAGTTCAAGCCGTAGTATCAGCACCCCAAGAAAAAATAATAACTTGAAACTTGGCCATCCTTTTGGTCAGTGCATGTCACTTGTTTGCACACCTCCTCTTTGCACCCACGAGACCAGTCAGCCATAACATCAACTTTATTCCTAGTTTAGATTTGCTTTCTTATAACTATGCATGCCTTTCCAGCAATGCCTGCTCATACGCCGTAATTCTTTCTCCCTGTCTGTGCTGGCCTGTAGGGACACTTCCCACCAAGTCCTTCTGGCAGCAGAAGGCTGGATGGCAGCTCCAGCTCCTGCTGTGGTGTACTTGACTAGGCCAGGCACCTGGTCAGACCGTCACTAGCCATGCTAGAGGGGTGTGGACTTACAAAGGGGAAGCAGTGATCCCATGATCCGCCCCCTCCATCCCCTCCTCCAGGTTTGTTTTCCTCATCTGTGGCTGATCTGACCTGAGTTCCTGCCAAGGGCCTGAGTGCTTGCTTGGGCCTTGGGGTCCTAGTGAGGGTTCAGCTCACACCATGCTCTGAGCTGGGATCTCTAGTTGTGAGTGGAGCTAGCTCACAACTGCCTGCCTGCTTCCATCCCTCCCTCCATCTCTTCTTCCCTCCCTTCCTCCCTTTCCCTTTCTCTTTCCCTTTCCCTTCCCTTTCTCTTTCCTTTCCTTTTTTTTTGTTGGTCATGGGGCTTGAACTCTGGTCCTGGGCGCTGTCCCTGAGCTCTTCAACTCAAGGCAAGCATTCCACTTCTGAGTCATAGCACCACTTCTGGTTTTCTGGTGGTTCATTGGAGATAAGAGTCCCACAGACTTTCCTGCCTAGGCTGGCTTTGAACTTCAGCCCTCAGATCTCAGCCTCCTGAGTAGCTAGGATGACAGGTGTGAGCCACCAGCACCCAGCTTCTTTTCTCTCTCTCTCTCTCTTTTCTGTTTCTTTCTAGCTCCAAAAAAGTTGATATTGTTCACTGTTTCTTTTCTATCGTGGGAGGGAAAAGGTCACACAGAAAAATCTAGGAACTTGAAGGTGGGAATGGGACAGGGAAGAGGAAGGGCTGACATGTGTCAAGATGCATTGTACTTGTCCCCTGACTTCTGGAATTGAATCCTCTCTGTACACCTACGTAATTTAAAAAGAAAGAAAACAAAAGAAAAATATTTAAAAAGTAAAAGCATGCACGGAGTGTGTGCAAGCCCTCCCGTCTCCCTGCCCAGCCCTCAGGTCAGGGTCACTCTGCATCCAGGCCACTGGGCTCAGTCCTGACCCTCGCTGGACTTGTGGCCCTGGACACTCTGTGTGACCCTCGCAGGAAGCTGCAGACCAGAGGCGATGGCGTGTGCCTGCACCTCTTCATTTGAATCTTCCTGGCACCTGCCCCCGCATCCACCATCAGCAAGTCAGACTTGTTGTTGGTCTGGGGTGTGGCCTGGGTACCTAGATTTTTTTAGGGCTCCAGAGCATCACAGGGCATAGCCAGGGCCAGTGTGTCACGTATTCCCCACAAGCATCAGTCAGAGTAGGTGCCGGTATGCTGCAGTAACAAACATCCCCCATGGCTTCACTTCTTCTCAGTCTCCTCCCCATGCCGGGGGAGCTGCAGTGCTTGTCCGTGTGGCCTGTCCCCTGGATCCCAGGCTATCAGGAACATGGCCAGTCCTGTGACACAGGGAGAGAGAGAGAGAATGGGGATCTAGCCCCAGTCCCCAAAGCTTAACCAGAAGGGGAAAAAGGAGACATCCCTGGGGCAAAGCCAGTCACAGGCCACACCTGAGTTCAGCGGGGAGACTGGGATAGGGACTGGCAGACCTTTTACGGTAAACATAAATAAAAAGGGTTTTATAAAATCTTTAGGCCTTGTGGAATACACAGTCCACTCTCTACTCTCCTTCCTAGGACCCAAAAAATATACACAGCTGAGAAAACAGAGTCCGCTGGGCTCAGAGCTGGGCCAGGTTCACCTGCCGCAAAGCAGGTGCTTTGCCATCCTCCCCCTCCCCCCCCGCCCAGCATCTAGTATCCATCCCCCTTCCGATGGGAAGCACATCTCTGGGAGCTCCCCCGCAATGTGGAGGGAGGTAACACAGGGGTGGGGGTCACGGCCTGCCTCACATCACAGCCGTGGCTTCAGTGTCACTTCGCTTCCTAATGGCAGCCCAGTTCTCCCTGGGGAGATGGGCCCTGGGCTTGTGACTTTGTCCCTATTGGACATCTTCTGTCAACCAGTGTGGATGTTGAAACAGCAGGAGTCAGAGGGGTACCCAGGAGGGATCCCAACCCACGCAGGCGCCCAGGAGCCTCGGAACTTGTGTGGTGCATCCTTGCCCTCCCAGGGCCGCGTTCTGGGAGTCCCAGAGGGCGAGTGTGGCTGAGAGGACTGGATAGTGAGCTCCGAGAGGAAACGGTGCTGGGTCCCAGGATCCAGGGCCCAGTCCACCCACGGCAGGGGCCTGGAGGGAGGCTGCGCTCACAGGTTTGGCCCCATCTCTCCGCAGGACACCACCACGTCCGTGCGTATCGGCCTCATGATGGAAGAGATGATCTTCAACCTGGCAGACACGCACCTGTTCTTCAATGACCTGGAGGTTTGTGCATGCAGGGCCGGGTGGGGCTGGGTGGTTTTCCTTTCCTCCTTTCTCTTTATTATGAGAAGCTCCACTTTTTCCTTTGTCTTTTCTTCTTTATTTCTGGTCATGGGGCTTGAACTCAGGGACCAGGTGCTGTCCCTGAGCTCTTTCAAAGCTAGTGCTCTAACACTTTGAGATGCAGCCCCACTTCTGGTTTCCTGATGGGTCATTGGAGATAGAGTCTCTTGGACTTTCCTGCTCTGACTGGCTTTGAACCACGATCTTTCTTTCTCAGCCTCCTGCATAGCTAGGTTGACAGGCAATCAGCCACTGGCACCTGTGTAAACACATGTTTTAAAAGATAGCAGGAGAATAATACATTTATTTAGTTTAAGGCTTCCTAGCCCTGGACAAGACCCAAGGGAGGTAGGGAAAGCAGGAAGAGCACCTTCAGAAGTCAATTCATTTGTTTATTGGATCCAGCCTGTGTCCCAAAGATTTGGGAAGGATTTCAAATGGAAAACATTTAAAGTGGAGCTGTTAAAGCAGACAGAAAGAGACTTAAAAGAATAAATGTGTCATGATTAAGGGTAAAGAGTTGTACTCCCTCCAAAACTGAAAATCCAGGCTCAAGATAACCATTGCAGTCAAGCTTAGAGTTGATCTGTGAGCTTCCTGGTAGCCAAAGCAAGGAGAGAAACAAGTCGATTGTTCCAATGAAAGGACAAACATCTTCCTGCCAGGATTTTGGGCTGGATTAGGGTGGAGCTTTTCTGACTTAAATCAGTACATCGGAATGAAAACCAGAGGCTGCCTGCCAAAGCACTAGCTGTGGAAGAGAGATTTCTGTTCTCCTACTAGGAAATGGGGCAAAGGTGTGAGGTACCAGCCCGTCCTGGCTGGCAAGGGCATTAGTTATATTTCTCATTGGGAAATGTTGCTGGTTTCTTGCTGCAGTGTGAAACCTTGTGTTCTGGCTGGTCCACACCAGCCACGAAGGCTGGGCTTTCCACTTACAAAACAGAACAACAGCCGGGTGCTGGTGGCTCACACCTGTCATCCTAGCTAGTCAGGAGGCTGAGATATGAGGATCGAGGTTCAAAGCTAGCCTGGGCAGGAAAGGCCATGAGACTCTTATCTCACCAAACATGGTGCTGTAGTTCAAGTGGTAGAGTGCTTGTCTTGAGCTGAAGAGCTGAGGGACAGCTCTCAGGCCTGCGTTCAAGCCCCATGACCAACAACACCACCACCACCAAAACCAACAACAGAACAACAACCAGTCCCCAGGGAAGACTGGCTGAGGTGGACAGGGCCCTGGCACAGCGTAGGGCATGCTGGGCAGTATTTCTGGAGCCTCATGTGGTAAATACGAAGCCGATCACAAACCCCACAGCCCAGCAGGTATCGGTGGCTCACACCTGTCCACGAGACGCAGACATCCGAGGGTGATGGTTAGTGGTTAGTCCGGGTGGGAAAAGTTCATGAGCCTCTAACCTTCCAGCCAGTTACCCGAAAAGCTGCCAGTGGAACTGTGGCTCAAGCGGCAGAGTTGCTAGCCCTGAACATAAAGAGTCAGAGACAGCACCCAGGCCCTGAGTTCAAGCCCCAGGACTGGCAAAAAAAAGTCAGAAGTTAAGATGTGGTTCAAGTGGTAGAGCACCAGCCTTGAGTGAAAAAAGCAAAGGAGGAGTGTGAGGCTGAGTTCAAGCCCCAGGACCAGCACTAAAAAAAAAAATGTTAAAGAAGGAGCTTTCAGTAAGGCTACAACTCCTTTGGCCACAGGCCGACCCTGGTGTCTTCTGTACAGAGGTGCTGCTTCCTGCCAGATGTGCAAACTTCTAGATCTTTCCTTTCCCACGGAGGCACCTGTGTGTATAAAGCAGCCTAGCTCTCAACAGGTTGTGAGGACTGGATATGCACCCACCTGGGTGCACGCCTGGTGCCGTAGCTGCCCTGCGGCCTGCCTGGATCTGCTGAGCTGCTGGGCACGGGCCCCCAAGTGGCTGTGACACTGCCATCAAAAGCACAGGCTGGGGTTGGGGGAGCCTCTGGGGTCTCCCTGCACCGAAGGCGGCCTTGCGAAGCTCTCTGCAGGTGTTTCTCTGGGTCAGAAGCAGAAGTTCCTGGAGGCAGGGATGGCCGTGGGTACGGCCCCGTGTGCACCATGCAACTCTTCATGTCTCTGTGCCAGCTGTTCCTGCTTGGAGCCCCAGGGAGAGGCCACTCCCCCACACCGCTGGGGCAGGGGCAGCATTAGGTCAATGTCTCCTCCAGGAGACCCTGCAGGCCCCTGTCCTATGCAGTGTCCAGGCCCTGGCCCTGCCCCGCAGGTAACTCTATCCGGGTCAGCTGTGCAGTATGAGGTAGCGTCTAGCAGGGCGTCGTGGTATTTTATGAAATCCGAAATGTGATCGCTACTGTTGTCTCAGTTTAGGGCCCCGACAATCCCCTCGCAAATGAGGAAAACAGCCTTCCCACATGCCTTTCCCCTGACACGGGCAGCCGTGGATCCCTGCCCAGGAGCCCTGGGGTGGGGTGGGAGCGTGGTGGGGGTGGGGGAGGTCTAGCATCTGAGGAAGGCAGTCTCAGGGCACTGGGGAAATCTGCTGTTTGTTCTGTTTTCCCCATTTCTGGGCATGCCTCTTAAAGCCAGTTTATGAGCACGTGGGCATCTGGGGCTGGCTGGTCCTTGAGCCCTGCTTCTCAGTGGGCTGCACAGCTCAGACTCTGGAGCCTGTAGGCCTCAGCCAGGCAGCTGCCTGGGAGCAAACGCTGCAGGTGCATGAATCCCCCCAAACAGCCAGAGAGAGAGAGACAAGAGACAGAGACCGAGAAGCAAAGACAGAGACATCCCCTGAGTTTACATTTGGCCATCATTTAAAACCCTCCTTTTTTTTTTTTTCCTGCCAGGAGCCAGTGGCTCATGCTCTTAATCCTAGCTACTCAGGAGGCTGAGAACTGAGGATCATGGTTCAAAGCCAGCCCAGGCAGGAAAGTCCTTGGGACTCTTGCCTCCAATGAACCATGAAAAAGCCAGAAGTGAAACTTCTAGACAGCACCCAGGTCCCAAGTTCAAGCCCGAGTACCAGTAGGTGCTCTCTCTCTCTCTCTCTCTCTCTCACTCACACACACACACACACACACACACACACTCAGCCCTCCCGTAATTTAGCATGCAGAGATCAGATTGCCAGCTCCTCCACCAATGCTCCCATCAGCCCAGCACAGGAGTTGGAGCTACACCTTCATCCTCTAAAAAGCCTGTCCAGACAAGTTTCTCGACTGACAGAGAAACTCACAGCATCCAGCATGGCCACCGCTGGGTGCCTGGCGCTATGGAGTCCTTGAAATGGGTCTGAGGAAAGGAAGGATCGGGGAGGCCTGTGGGCCACAGTGGTTGAATGGCAGGTGCCAAGTGCTCACTGAGTGAGGTCACAGATCAGATCGTGGGGTGCAGAAGCTGGGGCTTGGAGACTTTAGACATCATCACCCCATGGAGGGGGAAGAGCTCTCCAAGCAGGAGGCACCTGCGCAAGGCCAGTGCAGCCAGGCCTCCATTGTTCCTGGGCTGTAGACACTGGGGAATCCTGTCTTGTGTCTACCCACCCTGTTATTGATAACATCCCTCTTTTCTTACAAAACTGTCTTGGTTGGGAAGATAAATATATACGTTTTATTTCTAGTTATCTGCTCATTTATAAAGAGACCCAAGACACAGGAGACTTTATCCAAAGGCCTCTGACATGTAGTAGAAAACCTGCACTAGACCCCAAGACTCCTGTCCCCCGATCCAGCGCTCACCCCACCACTCAGCATGGGAGAGCAGCCTCCCTCTCCTCTTTGTCCAGTGCTGGGGGTGAAGCCTGGGACATACTGGGCAAGAGCCACACCGCCAGCCCAGGAAGTCCACTCTTAAAGACGACTCACCACTGCTCTTCTCTCTTCTTGGTGAATTTTCCAAGGATTGTGACCAGATCCACGTAGATGATGTCTCATCTGATGACAATGGCCAAGATTTAAGGTAGGAATTGGGGGAAGAAAAGACCTCTGGCTGGCTGGCTAGATGAGGGATGGATGATGGGTGGGTGGATGGATGATGGTATTGATGATGGGTTGGAGGTGGATGGATGATGGGTGGATGGATGGATGGATGGATGGATGGATGGACGGACAATGGGTGAGTGGATGGATCATGGAGAGATGATAGGCAGATGGCAGGCTAGATGGATGATGGGTGGGTGATGGATGATGGATGATAGGTGAATGATAGATGGATTGATGATCGGTGGGTGGATGGATGGATGGGTGGGTGGATGAATAGATGAACTCACCTTTCCTAATTCAAAAATCAGTTCCTCAAATCCCCACCATTTAAAAGTGATACACATTGTTCAGAGATTTGCTTACAACCATTGCCTTGTACATTTTTTAAAGTGATGCAGGTGAAACTCAAAATCAATTCTTGAGTGCTGAAGTGGGTGTCTAGTTTCTAGGGACAGTGCTCCAAGGACATGGATTCTAGAAGTCAGGTGAAGCCGCCAGAAACGTGGCAGCTTGCAGAAGAATGTGGCTGGAAAATTCCGAGTTCTACTCTAGGAGATCTAAAAGTGTGACCTCAGTTACTTATTCAAAACTATTACAATTCCACATCTCTAGACCCATCAAAAATATTATAAGACCGAACTGGGCATGGTGTCTCATGCCTACAATTCTAGCTATACATGGGCTGCACGGCGATCATGGTCTGAGGCCAAAGTCTCATGGATTTTCCTGCCTACACTGGCTTTGAACCGTGATCCTCAGATCTCAGCCCCTTGAGTAACAAGCCCCTAGGGTAACAAGCGTACCAGGTACCTGGCTGTCAGAGCTTTTCTTTTTTTTTTTTTTGAGACAAAAAACTTTCTAAGCAGCTGATAGATTCTTAGGGATCTTCCAAGCCTGCATCCTAATCCCTCCCCCACCCAGGGGCTCACCCACAATGCCCTGTGCGCCCCAGCGATACCCCAGGGCCTGTGGCAGGTCTGTGGGGCCTGGTCTGCTCACACTCACGCCACCCGTGTCCACCTCCCCAGCACTTACAACTTCTCCACGGACGGCTTCCACAGCACGGCGCCGGGGGCGGGCCTGTGCCTGGGCGCGGGCGTGCATGGCGGCGTGGACTGGATGAGGAAGCTGGCCTTCCGCTACAGGCGCGTGAAGGAGATGTACAACACCTACCGCAACAACGTGGGCGGTAAGTGGCCGGCAGAAGCAGGGTCAGGCCAAGCAGAGGGGGCAGACTGGCCCCTGGGTGTCCCCTCCACACCCGTCCCAGGGCCAGGCACTGGGCTGGGAGCTCATGCACCTCCGCTTGTGCCATGGATCTCCGGGAGACTCTTGGCCCAGAACATGGTGGAGCCTGGCGAGCTCCACCTCTGGGTGCCTGGGACTACGGGAGTCCTTGAAATGGGTCTGAAGAAAGGAAGGATCGGGGAGGCCTGTGGGCCACAGTAGTTGAATGGCGGGTACCAGGTGCTCACTGAGTGAGGTCACAGATCAGATCGTGGGGTGCAGAAGCTGGGGCTTGGAGACGTCAGACATCACCCCAGCTGCAGCCTAGGTGACACCTGAGGTGTGTGGAGGAAGTCAGGCTCCCAGGCCCTGCCTGGGCCAAGTCTGGAACCCAGAGAGACAGGAACAACAAGTCCCTCGAGGATGCTAAGGGCCAAACATGGTCCTTGGAGCAGTCACAAGGCCATCATCCTGCAAGCTGGTTAGAAATGCATGGTAGTGTATGCCTGCAATCCCAGCAGGATAATTGAGAGTTGAAGAGGGCCAATCCTGGGCTACATTGCAAGATCTTGTTCCCAGAAAATGAAAAAAACAAGAAATGCGTGACTTAGACCCCACTCACCCAGGTGAGTGTCTTTGAATCCGCACTTCCAATGAGTTTCCCCAGTGACCGGCAACACTGAGTTTGAAGGAGGGTTGGAAGTTACTGGTTCTCAAACTTGGCAGCCCTGCTACCCGCCTTGTCCAAAAGCCACACTTAGTCCTTGCCCAAGGGAGCAAACAGGCTTGTGGCTGCATGGAGACATAGTGCATGATCCATTTTAAACCAGAGAGATAGGAGGAGTGCTGGGAAGAAGGGCTCCATGGGTTGGGACAGCATAAACCGCAGGGACATGGCTCTAAATGCACAGGGAGGGAGTTAGCCGGACAAAAGCGAAGGTGAGAACCGAGGAGATTGATCCAGGTTCTGGAATGGTGTGTGCAAAGGTCCTGTGGCAGGAGCAGGCTTGATACCTCAATGGACAGAAAAAGAGGCCTCAAGGCTGGAATAGCAGGACATCAAGACTATGGTAGCAGGTAAGACTGGCTGCTAAGTAGAGGCAGGACTAACCTGGGAGCCCTGAACTTTATCTTAAAGGGCCCAGGCTGAGAGGAGACAGCCAAGTTCAGAACATCCACAGAGTGGGCTCTGGAGATCAGCTTGCCAACCCTGTCTCCACTGTTTCCTCCTATACTGAACAAGTCAGTCCACCTCACCAAGCCTGTTTCCTCACCTCAAAAAAATAGAAACGAAAGTAGTGTCCCCTTCGGAGGCTGTGGGAGTGAAAAGAAGTCAGCTGTCCTAAACACACAGGGCCACACACACAGTGAGAATTGGATGGGTACCGGTCATTGTTGCTTTTTATCTTATAAACTATTTATCTCTACCGTAATAGCATTAGCTCCATTATCTGTATATTCTCTTCATCTCAACACATTCGATGCCAATTACATTACTGTGAAGGTGTGGATGGATGGATGGATGGATGGATGGATGGATAGATGGATGGATGGATGGATAAATGGATGGATGGGTGGATATATAAATAAATAGATAGATAGGTAGACAGATAGACAGGTGGGTGTATAGGTGAATAAATTGATGAATAAGTAGGTAGCTGGATGTACGGATGACTGAGGGGATTGTGAATGGGAGGGTGGATGGATAGACGATAGATACATATGTATGTATGTATGTATGTATGTATGTATGCATGTATGTATGGATGGATGGATGGGTGGGTGGATTACAGGTGGGTGCATGGGTGGATGAATTGATGGACAGGTAAGTGGGTAGATGGAAGGATGATGGACAGTTGGATAGGTGGATGGATGGATGGATGAATGAACAGATGACAGGTAGGTAGAACAATCTATGGTCAGTTGGTCCCAGGATAAGGGGAGAAGGAAATGGTGAATCAAAGGGAGTTTTGGGGTGCTCTGAGTTTGGACACCCCTTCCCTGCCTCTGTGTAGACTCTTCTAACACAACTCATCTTCCTCTGTGCACAGGCTTGATCGGCGCTCCCAAGAGAGAGACGTGGCTGCAGCTGCGGGCGGAGCTGGAGGCGCTTACAGACCTGTGGCTGACGCACTCCCTGAAGGCGCTGACCCTCATCAACTCCAGGCAAGCGGCAGCCCGTTCCCCACGCCACCCGCCTCCTCCTGGCACCCAACGGCGGCGGCGGCGTGGCCATTTCCACACACTTCCCAGGGCTGGAGTTACTCGCATGGCTGAGGAGACAGCCTGGGGCCCAGCAGGATTCCAGGTTTCTGGGCTCTCAAAGACCAGAGCCTTTCTGTACCACAGTGCCCACTTCTCCCTCTTGCCCTGCGCTCGTCCCATGTGGCTCCATTCCACTCCCTGGGACCCTGGGGCTGATTCAGTGTGTGTGGTTCTTACAAAGACAAACAGCAACAAACCACGGGCCTGCAAATCAAGCAATTATGGCAGCTTTCCAGGATCAGGCAGCATCGGGCTTACAGGAAGAAGAGCCGTGGCTCCCTGCTTCCCACCCCTTTAAGATGAGCCCCCCCAGCTCCAGCCCAGATCCCAGACAGGCAGGCCTCCCCTTGCGGGGCCTCTGGTCTTAACCGGCGTCTCCTTTGTCCTCAGGCCCAACTGTGTCAACGTCCTGGTCACCACCACACAGCTCATTCCCGCCCTGGCCAAGGTCCTGCTGTACGGCTTGGGCTCCGTGTTTCCCATCGAGAATATCTACAGCGCCACCAAGACAGGTATGTAGGGGCATCCTTGAGGCCAGGGGCGGGGGAGGGGGGCGGGAGGGGGGCACAGGAATGGGGATGGGACAGTGCTGACTACTTGCTCTGACGTAGAGCACCTGATGTTGGCTGCTCATCCTGTCTGCTTCCTGGGGAAGGGGTTGTGGGACACACTGCGGGCTCTCCTGCCCACACCACCCATCCCCGTGGGCGGGCGAGGGGAGCAGATCATATTTTATCCTCTTCTAAATGAATGAAAAAGCCAAAGAAATCCGTTACTGCTGGAGATGTGGCTCATGTGGTAGAACACCAGCCAAGCAAGCAGAGAGCGAGAGGTCCTGAGTTCCAATGTCAGTATCACACACATGTACACACACACACACACACACACACACACACACACACACACACACACAGTCAGCTGCGATGCTTCCAGTTGGAAACGTTCACCCTTCTCTTTTTCTGGAGCAAAACAAAAACTCTAGTCATTTGTAGGTGTTTTCTGAGCACCATCTCGTGGGGAGTTTTTTGGCTTGGACTGATTTTCCCCAACTTTTTTTTTTTTCTTAATTCTTTTTTTCCTGGCCCTGGGGCTTCAACTCAGAGTCTGAGCGCTGTCTATGAACCTCTTGGTGCTCAGGGTTAGTGTTCTACCACTTGAGCCACAGCACCACTTCCGGCTTTTTTTGAGTAGTTTATTGGACATAAGGGTCTCAGTGGGACTATTCTGCTCAGGATCCTCAGATCTCAGCCTTCTGAGTAGCTAAGATTACAGGCGTGAGCCACCAGCACCCAGTTTTTTTTCCCAACTTTGAACACAATGTCGTGCCGTTCGGGCCAGCATGGAGGTCCTGGGAGACTCCCAGCCTCTTTTCTTTTCCTTTTTTTTTTTCAGTACTGGAGGTTGAACCCAGTGCCTGGCACATGCAAGACAAAGTGCTCTACCCCTGTTTGCTTTGTTTTTTGAGACAAGGTCTTGATAACTTTTTCCCCTCATCCTCTTGCCTCCACCTCTCAAAGAGCTGGGATTCCAGGTGTATGCCACTACACTGAGATTTTAAAGAATTTTTTTGTATTGTTATTATAAAAGTGATACAGTTACAGTACATGTACGTGTACAGCACAGTTACAGTTACATGAGTCAGGTAGAGTACATTTCTTTTGGGATAATGTCACCCCTTCCCTCACTCTCTTCCAGTTTTTCCCTCCCACCCCACCCACAAGTTGTATAATTATTTCCAACATTGTATCTAGTGAGTACCACTGTTGCATTTGTTCTTTTAATTAATTTTTTCATTGTGGAGAAATAACAATATAAAACTTTCGTGTGTGTTGCTAATACCAGGGCTTAAGCTCAGCACTTGGGCACTGACCTGAGCTTTTGTGCTCAAGGCTGGTGCTCTACCACTTGAGCCACAGCACCACTCTGGCTTCTTGGTGGATAATTGGAGATGAGAATCTCTTGGGCCTGTCTGGTCTGGTTTCAAACCACAGTCCTCTGGTCTCAGCCTCCTGAGTAGCTAGGGTTACAAGCATGGGCCACTGGCACCTGACTAAAAGTTCTTAGCATAGGGATCAGATTTGAGGTCCAGGTGCACTGAGCTGCACCTCTGGCCTGATTATTTTGCAGGGGGGGGGGAGGATTGTCTGCTTTGCTTGGGTTTTTTGTCGTTGTTGTTGTTGTTCATTTGGGAGTTCTATTCACTCTTGCCTTTTTGGAGATGGAACCCAGGGCCTCACCCATCTGTAGTCCATTCTCACACACGTGTAGTCACAGCTGAGGGCAACTGCTCAACCTCTCTGGGTCCCAGCACTTGGGCGGGAGGATGGAGGATGAAGGATGAAGGCCGGGTGCTGGCCTGGGTTACAGACGGCTGGGCAGCCTGGGGCTCCTCCTGGGGCCTCACCCTCTGGTCACACACATCACACATCCCCCCTTCCCCCTCCCCCGGTCACCATGCAGGGAAGGAGAGCTGCTTCGAGAGGATCATACAGAGGTTCGGCCGCAAAGCCGTCTACATCGTCATCGGCGATGGGGTGGAAGAGGAACAAGGGGCAAAGAAGGTGATTGATGGATGAATTGTGATTAGTTGTGATTGATGGTGCAAGAGGGGTGGCGCCTCCTGCTCCCCCACTCCACCCTGCTTCTTCCCAAGTGAGCCCTAGGTGCAGCCCGCTTTCCTGCTCTCCATTTGCAAATGGCAGAAGCATCTCAAGTCATTTCCTCTGCAAGTCCCTGGGTGCCTTGGCCCTGGCGGCCTCCTCCCAGCTTCCTCCCTGCCTCCTCCTGGCTGGGAGGGGGCCTGGTGCACGTGCAGGCCTCTTCTTTCATGCGCCCAGTTAATAAAGGCAGCATTAAACTAATGAAAAAGCAAATCCCGCATCTGTGATCCCCGGTGAGGCCAGGCTTGTGGTGGCTGCAGCTCTGTTCTTGGGAGACAAACAGCTGCCCAGCCCTTACTCTGGATCTGCCAACAGCACCCCAGAGAGCTGCAGCACGCCCCCCCAAACCCCAGCCTGGGAAGCAGACTGTTAATGGTGCAGAGCTTAACTTGAGGGTCCTGGCCTCCCCTTCCTTCCCTGGCAGCAAATCCCAAGGAAATGCAAAAAATAAAAATAAAAGAATTCAGGGCCTCAGCTATGGAGTCAGCTCCCCAGGGTACAGAGAAAGTTCTGGAAGGGGGTGCTGCAGACGCTTTACAGGGCAATCTTCTCTGGCCAGATGGCTCCTCTCTGGAGGAGAGAGTTCCCCCACCCCCAGACTCCAGCCCCTTTGCACACGGCCCCTCTTTCTAGAGAGCGTGCTCCTCCTCTGTCTTGGAACCAGGACTGTTTGCTCTGCTCCAGCTGGGAGGTGTGTGTGCCCTTAGCTGAGCTCTGATGGTGAGCCAGCCGTGGTGCCAGCCACGATGCCAGGCACTGGGCTGGCTGGTCCAGTGCACAGATCAGAGCCTGGTGCCCCCGGCTCTCACGCAGCCCACAGCCCAGGGAGCATGGTGTGGAAGGAGGCTGTGAGACAAAGACAAAGGCTGGGGCAGATTGTAGGAGGGGAGGCTGTGGAGGGGGAGGCAGGAATCAGGGCAGGCCTCGTTGAGAGGAGCAGGAACATTCCCCTTGGTTCCAAGGGGAACCAAGTTCAGAAGGCTGCAGCCAGAGCAGCTGCAGGTGAGGGTGTGGTAAGAAGTAAGGGCCCCACGGTGCCCAGGTCAGGCAGTCCCCACTGGTCTGGGGTTCTAGAAGGCGTTGAGCAAAGCTTGTGCATGCTCATGGCTGTACCAGTGGCTGCTTTTTAAGGGGTATATTGCATTTTCATAGAATAAAGGACGGGAGGAAAATATTCAGCAAATCACACAATGATTGAAACACAACCAACAAAATATATGTGTGGCAGGGGGAGGGGGAGGGGGGTTGTCAGTTGTGGGGCTTGAACTCTGGGCCTGGGCACTGTCCCTGTGCCCTTCAGCTCAAGGCTAGTGCTCTACCACTTGAGCCACAGCGCCACTTCCAGTTTTTTCTGTTTATGTGTTGCTGAGGAATCAAACCCAGGTCCTCATGCATGCGAGGCAAGCACTCTACCATGGAGCCACCTTCCCAGCCCTGTGTGCAGGAATTTGATATTTTTCTTTGAATTTCTTTTTATTTTTTATTTTTCAGTGGTGGCGGTGATGCTGGTTTTGCTGGTTTCTAAATCTAGATCTGCCAACAGCACCCTAGAGAGACACCCAGGCAGGACTGCCATTACAGCCCCAGCCCTTTCCTCTCCGGCTATTTCTGAGACAACCTTTTATTTTTTCTTCAATGTTACAATCCTCCTATTTAGTTTCCAGCCATAGCTGGTGTGACAGGCATGCACCACTATGTGCAGCTATTGGTTGAAATGAGTCTCAAGCGCGTTTTGCTCCAGTTGGCCTCAAGCTCCAAATCTGAGCCTCCCAAGGAGCTGGGATTACAGGTGTAAGCTGCTATCACCTGGTTTATCATTTCTTTTGATTTTTTTAACTTAATTTTTTTAAACTACATTTGGCCAAAACTATGTGTGCTTAATCTGAAAATAAGGTGGGCTTGCTTCTTTTTAAAGTACATCTGCTGGCTTTATAAATAATAACTCAGGAGATACACAGGGTCTGACCAAACACCAATGGCAGCGAATCAAGTGAGCTATCAGGTGACTCCACAGCAGTTCAGAGGGCAGTCTGTTTGGTCAGATCTCTGGGTCTTAGAGCCCTGGACCTGGGATTGGAGGGGCCTCCAGCTGACTGGTAGGGTCAGTGCATGATCACGGGGTCAGCACATGGTCACAGGGTCAGTGTGTGTTCACAGGGTCAATGCGGGATCATGGGGTCAGTGTGTGATTGCAGGGTCAGTGTGTGATCATGGGATCAGTGTGTGATTGTGGAGTCAGTGTGTGATCATGAGGTCAGTGTGTGATCGTGGGGTCAGTGTGTGATCATGAGGTCAGTGTGTGATCGTGGGGTCAGTGTGTGATCATGAGGTCAGTGTGTGATCGTGGGGTCAGTGTGTGATCGTGGGGTCAGTGTGTGATCATGAGGTCAGTGTGTGATCGTGGGGTCAGTGTGTGATCGTGAGGTGAGTGTATGATCATGGGGTCAGTGTTTGTGAGGTCAGTGTGTGATTGCGGGGTCAGTGTGTGATTGTGAGGTCAGTATGTGATCGTGGGGTCAGTGCATGATTGCAGGGTCAGTGTGTGATCATGGGGTCAGTGTTTGTGAGGTCAGTGTGTGATTGTGGAGTCAGTGTGTGATCATGAGGTCAGTGTGTGATCATGGGGTCAGTGTGTGATCATGGGGTCAGTGTATGATCATGGGGTCAGTGTTTGTGAGGTCAGTGTGATTGTGAGGTCAGTGTGTGATCATGAGGTCAGTATGTGATCATGGGGTCAGTGCGTGATTGTGAGGTCGGTGTGTGATCATGAGGTCAGTGTGTGATCGTGGGGTCAGTGTGTGATTGTGAGGTCAGTGTGTGATCATGAGGTCAGTGTGTGATCATGAGGTCAGTGTGTGATCATGGGGTCAGTGTGTGATCATGGGGTCAGTGTGTGATCGTGGGGTCAGTGTGTGTTTGTGAGGTCAGTGTGTGATTGTGGACTCAGTGTGTGATCGTGAGGTGTGTGATTGTGGGGTCAGTGTGTGATCGTGAGGTGTGTGATTGTGAGGTCAGTGTGTGATCGTGAGGTCAGTGTGTGATCATGAGGTCAGGTCAGTGTGTGATCGTGAGGTCAGTGTGTGATCATGAGGTCAGTGTGTGATCGTGGGGACAGTGTGTGATTGTGGGGTCAGTGTGTGATCGTGAGGTGTGTGATTGTGGGGTCAGTGTGATCATGAGGTCAGCGTGTGATCATGAGGTCAGGTCAGTGTGTGATCATGAGGTCAGGTCAGTGTGTGATCATGGGGTCAATGTGTGATTATGGGGTCAGTGTGTGATTGTGGGGTCAGTGTGTGATCATGGAGTCAGTGTGTGATTGTGGGGTCAGTGTGTGATCGTGAGGTGTGTGATTATGGGGTCAGTGTGATCATGAGGTCAGTGTGTGATCGTGGGGTCAGTCATATGACTGCAGGGTCTGTGTGTGACCATGGTCAGGGCATGTATAACCTGCACCTTGTATGTCCCAGCACAACATGCCTTTCTGGCGGGTGTCCTGCCACGCTGACCTGGAGGCCCTGCGCCACGCGCTGGAACTGGAGTATTTATAGCTGTGTCGCAGGCTCCACCTGCTGTCCTCTGGTCTAGGATCCTCGTCCCTCCTGCCTCCCCACGACTGCCCCAGACGCCCGGACACAGGACACCTGGCTGCCTCTGCCCTCGGGGACAAGTCCACCAGTCATCTCAGAAGTGCCCGCCCGCCCGGTTCAAGCTGGCGTCTGAAGGAGCAGAGTGCCAGGGAATGCAGCCTGGGGAACCAGATCCTGTCCCAAGACTCAGCCAGTGGGCGCTGGAGGCTGGTGGGACGGAGGTGGGGGTGGGGGGTTGTTTCTTGTTTTAATTTATGGACGAATCTCATGACTCTGTGTTATGCCCTCACACCTGTCTTGGTTTTCTTAGTGGTTGGTTTGGGTTTGGAACTGGCATGTGGGCAGCTCACAGTTCTCTGCGAGGCGCTTTGTAGGGCAGGCGGGGGAGGACAGTCACTCCTTGACTATCAGTGAGGAAGGCCGTCAGGGGCTGCTGGGGAGACCCTTCCCTGCCATGTCACGTGGACAGTATTGGTGCCTTATGCTGCCATCTTGCTTTCTTGGAAGAGAGGAACACGAAAGGAAGTGGAACTCTGACGGATGAAAGGCATAAAATAAAACCACGTTTACATTCTGAAGCTCAACACAGCTCCTCTGCTCTCACTCCTCAGGGCCGCACGTGGGGAGGTCTTCTTCAGTTGCGAAATAAAATCCTGGGGAAACTGGTGTTGAGTCAAACAAGAGCAACAGAGACAAGTGTCTCTCAGAGCTTTCTCCTAGACTTCGCTGAGATGGAAGATGCCTCTTTGGTCTTTGAGCAAAACCCTCCATCCATAAGAGCCGCACCCTTGCTGTGCTGGCAGACTTGAGCCATGGCTCCATGATGCTCAATTTAGGGATGAAATACTGCAGGTGTGTGTATGTGTGTGTGTTAGTGTCCATGCTGGGGCTTGAACTCAGGACCTAGGTGCTGTCCCTGAGCTTATTTTGCTCAAAGCTAACACTATCACTTGAGCCAGAGCTCTACTTCCAGCTTTTTGGGAGGGTTCATTGGAGATGAATCTCACGGACTTTTCTGTCTGGGCTGGCGTTGAACCATGATCCTCAGATCTCAGGTTCCTGAGTAGCTAGGATCACAGGCATGAGCCATCAGTGCCTGGCCTATGATTCTTTTGTATAAACAAGGCTCTGGTGAGGTAAAAGCTAAAAGCACTGGACTGGGCCATACTTTCCCACACACTGCACAGATGGATGCCAGCCCAGCACCAGCAAGCTGTGCTTGCCAGTGACCACCAGAGGGCAGTGTGTTCCCACAGCCACCTGCAGGTGGAGTGGATCAGGAAGCAGGGATAAAACAAGACTTAACTGAGATACTTTGGCAAGCGGTTTGGTCATCAGCAGTGGACTCAGGCCCAAGGATGGACAGTAAGGTCACCCCCCCCCACCTGCTCACAGCAGGATGTCTTCAAAGGGTGGCACATAAGCAATAGTTCCCAGATTTGTTCATAATACTCTGTTCTAATACATGTTCCTGTGCTCAAGTTCAATCGTGGACTGTTAATGGTTTGGGGTAATGGTGGGATTTGTTTCTGTACCTAGGAGCTCACTGGGCACAGTTTAAAGCTAGGTTTAAAATATAGCAGTAATGCTGGGAACCTGTGGCTTATACCTGTAATCCTAGCTACTCTGGAGGCTGAGATATGAGGATCCTGGTTCAAAGCCAGCCTGGGCAAGAAAGTCCCTGAGAATGAATCAACAAAAAACCATAAGTGGGGCTGTGGCTCAAGTGGTAAGAGCACCAGCCTTGAGCACCAAAGCCAGGGACAGCACACCAGACCTCGAGTTCAAGTCCCAAGACGGACACCAGTAAAGAAATTCAATAGTAAAGTTGGGGCCAAAAATGAACATGACAAGAACTTCAGCCAGTTGGTGGGTGTGGCTTCACCCCTCCCCCATGCACCAGGATACAGACCCACAGGAAGGAAAGCAGCCTAGCTCTCTTGCAGGCTGGCTTAAACTGTCTTAAACTGCCAGCTGTGAAGTGGGGCAAGAACCCCCACCCCCACCCCCACCCCCTGTTGCTGATATCACTGACAAACATGCGGACATGAGCAGTGCTTTTAGGGAAATGAGACTTCGTGTCTTTTCCCAGCAAAAAGCCAGAAGAGGAAGTGTGGATCAAGTGGTAGAGTGCCAGCTTTGAACAGAAAAAGCTACACAAAGGCGGAGCTGGTGTTTCCCACCTGTAATCCTAGCCACTCAGGATGCTGAGATCCGAGGACCATGGTTCAGAGCCTCTCATCTCCAATTATTAACCACCAGGAAACCAGAAGTGGTGCTGTGGGTTTAAGTGGTAGAGGGCTGACTTTGAGCAAGAGCTCAGGAACAGCACCCAGGCCCTGAGTTGAAGCCCATGACTGATTTTTTTTTTTAAAAGAAGCTAAGCAAGAGGATGAGACTCAATTCAAACCTCAGTCCCAGCGAAAAAACACCTTAAAAGCAGAGGACTGAGATGTAGCTTAAGTGTGAATCTGAGTTCATTTCATCTCCAGTGCTGGGGGAAAAAGCTGAGTGACTTCCACTTCCAGAAGGGAAGCTGGGTAGGAGGGACATCTGGTCACCTCTCCCCCAGTGCAGGACAGCATTGGACACAGCCCTGTTCCTTTTTAGTTATTCTAACGAGCCACCCGTATGTTTAGACCCCATATGGAGCACAAATAACCACAGCAGAAAGGGGGAGGTGTCTTTCCTGGGGGAACCATTGGCCTAAAAACCCCCTGAACCCATAGCTTGGCTGTCATCCCATCCTGCTGCCACACTCGACCTGCAGCTCGGCCTCCACCTCAGCTCCGCACTCCTAAGGCTGCCCCAGAAGCCCCCGCGGGCCCCCGTGCCGCTCATGGCCTCCACAGACGCCTGGTGTTTGCTGGAAAGCGGAGACAGCGCCCCAGCCCATGGAAAATGGCCAATCTGAGCCAACCACACTTCCAACACAGTTTAATTGGAAAAGAGGTAAAGAGCCAGGTACTGGTGGCTCACACCTGTGATCCTAGCTAAGATCTGAGGATCACCATTCAAAGCCAGTCTGGGCAGGAAAGGCCATAAGACATATCTCCAATGAACCACCAGAAAACTGGAAGTGGCGATGTGGCTCAAAGTGGCAGAGCACTAGTCTTGAGCAAAAGAGCTCAGGCCCAGACCCTGAGTTCAAGCCCTACAACCAACCAAAACAAGAAAGAGATAAAGGTAAAGAATCTGAAAATTGGGAGAGGAGAAAGTGAAGGGTCCAAAAGGCCTCGTGCGTCGAGTCCACGGCTTAGTCACAAACAGACACCATCATCAAAAAAGATATTTAAGTTTAATACAAATTTTATACAAAGAAAATATGAAAAAATACTTCCATATGCTAAAAGCAATTATGCCTCACAAATAAGGCCAGCTAGGCTATTTTTTGTTTTGACAACTGCAATTCACAACTGTTCTCTGTCTCTGTGTCTCTCTCCCTCTCTCTCTGGTTTTCTTCTAGTATCTCTTCTTTCTTTTCTAATGGGGGGTGACTAGCTGGAAACTGTACAGTTCGCATCCTCTTATCGACAATGAAAAGTAAACGAGACTAAAATGTACAACAGAATGTACTGGAATGATATCGTACAGTTAATGTTCTCATATACACATATCACCTCTCGCTCCCGTGGATGTGTCCCCAGGAGGGGAGAGCAGCGTGGCGTGACCGGCAGCGTGGGACAGGCCTGGCTTCCTCGCGCACGGCTGGGCTTCATGCTTCCCTAAAGACGTGGAACTCGTGTGGTTATAAATAATACAGAACATGCGTCCTCCCGGCCTCGGGCCGCCTCCTCGTCTCCACGAGGCTGCGCGGGCGACTGAGGGAAGGAATCAAAGAACAAAACCAAGTCCACCATCCTCTGGTCCCGGTCCTGTGCTGCGTGACCAGCCCGCGCACGCAGGATCTCTTTCTGCAGATGGTTTGTAAACAAGGATATCGGTTTCCCTTTGAGGAGAAATCACCAAAACACACGCTTCTCCGTGTGTGTCCTTCTGGCGTGGGCAGCCGGCCCTTCCCAGCAACGTTGGACAGTGTGGCCCGGGAAGTGGGGGAAGTGGGAGGGAAGGAGGTGGGCTGCGAATGGCTTCTGCGGTGAGCCCCAACCACATAGCCTGGGCTCGAACTCTTGACCCCAATGCAGAGGGGAGCAGATGGGTAAGGCGACAGTGGCTGCCCGCCCTGGGGAACCTGTGCCACGGCCCTCCCCGGGCCCAGCCCCCACCCCGCCTGACCCCGCGGGCCGAGTGAGCATCCCCAGTTGTGGTTGGGTTTGGGTTTTTCTAAGTTGTTTTTACTTTTTCTTTTTTTATAAGTTAAAAGTCAATAGAAATATAAAAAGGGCAGGCGCTCTATCGGGGCTATGCACAAAGTGTACAGTATGTACAGCGCGGCCCGGGCCTCGGGAGTGCAGGGCGCCGGGCCAGGTCTGAGGGCGGCGACTGTTGTGTGGGGGGCGGGGCGGCCCCCCTCAGCAGCCCCTAGTCCCAGAAGGGGTCCAGCCGGGTCTCCTTGGCCAGGAGATTCTTGGTGCTGGTGCTGGCGCTGTGTTCGGCGCGCGTGGAGGCTCGCTTCTCCTCACTGCCGCTCCGGGCCCCGCACTTGCTGCTCCGGGAATGATCTGCGGGACAAAGGCAAGACTCACCCACCCGCCTGCACGCGCCCCCACGCCCGAGCCTGGGTGCGCCGCCGGTCATGTGGGGTGCTGCGTGTAGGATGTGGGGTTCGGCTCACTGTTCCCCCTAGAACCATACAGACACTCGTGGCAGGCCTGAGCACCACCCCGCACGCCACGCACTCCCACCTCGGGCGCCGTATCTGGCACGCGGGCCGCACGCGGGCAAAGCACACAAGCCCACCCCAGGGAGAGGCCAGAGGTCAGAGGAGAGACAGGCAACCGGCTCATCCAGGGGACAGAGAACCCCCAGACCCAAGGAGGACACGCAGCCACCCAAGATGGCTCCGAGGACACATGGGCGCAGAGCACAGGAGGCTGAAGAGAAGGGAAAAGGCCAGGAAGAGCTCCAGCCACCAAATGCAGTACTGCCCGGTGCTGGCGGCTCACGCCTGTCATGCTAACTACTCAGCTGAGAGGCTGAGATCTGAAGATCATGGTTCAAAGTCAGCCTAGGCAGGAAAAGTCCCTGAGACTTAACCACAAAAAGTCAGAAGTGGAGCTGGGCTCAAGTGGTAGAGCTTTAGCCTTGAGGGAAAAGATGAAGGGTTAGTGCAGGCTCTGAGTTCAAGCCCCAGTACTGGCACAAAAAAACAAACACACAAACAACAACAAAACACAAAAGGCCAGCCTGCAGGTGAGGTGCAGCCAGCCATGGCCCGAGCCGCCAGCCCAGCCCCGGGCAGACCATCATGGGGAGCACAGATCGGGTTTTTCTTGTTTACTTCTCCATCTGGAGTAGGAAAGAAGCTAGGGGTGAGGCTCAGAGGCCTGCAGGGCTGGGGTGAGTGAGGAGCGCATCCCCCCCCCATTCCTCACAATACTACTCTTTCCTGCCAGACCCAGGGCAGCAGAAAACTGACAGGAGCTGTGTGTCATCACCAGTACCAAGAGGGTTAAGGATTAAAGGGTTCATTCAGAAAGCACCCCTCAGCCTAGCACAGATGACCCAAGTGGACAGTGCTGGGGAACAGGGCCAGGTGGGGGTGGAGCTCTCCCCAAGACCCCCAGTTCCTCTGGGATGCACTTGCCCGTGCTGTTGGCTCCTCTCAAGGTGTCTGGGATTGGGGAGGGGGGGAACGTCGCTGGTTTGGGGGTACATAAGAAAATCCCCCAGTGAGGCCACCAAATCTCACCACATCCTCCCAGCTCTGGGGCGGGCTGGGCCAGAGGGGGGCGGGGGAGGGGGGGCATGGGATCGCAGGAAGCAGAGGCTCGGCTGGGGGAAAGGAGGGGGGTGGGGCTCAAGTAGCTGAAGGAACACTGAGGCACGGTAGGAAGGCGCCACAACGCCCGGCCCGGCCCACGCAGGACAGACACGCGAGAACACACAGACACACACAGGACAGGGCTGCGGCAGCAATACTTACACTTGTGGGCTGGGTAGGTGGGGTGCGGCTGGCGGTCGGTGGAGGTTGGGGTGCTGGCGGCTGGCTTGTCACACCTTTTGCTCACTGAAGAGACAGCACAGGGAGCCTCAGCGTCTGCCCCCCAGCTCGACGCCGGCCGCGCACCCCACGCTTGCCGCCTGCCTACCATGGGGGCTCCTGGCACCCCCGGGTGACCCCGCCATCACGCCACGCGCTCCAACCTGACACACACACGTGGACCAAGCCACAGGTACACGCGCACATGCGCCCGCGACACCAACCACAAGCGGGGAACTGGGTTGCAGGGACACGCACGCCCCGTGACCAGACACTGCGCACCACACACCCAGCAAGACTGGAGACACCAAAGTCCCAGCGCCAGGCCAAGGAGAAGGCCAGGCTGGCGGGGCCTCCAAAAACTGCAGAGAAAGAGGGGGGAGGAAGAGAGAAAGGAAGGAAGGAAAGAAAGGAGGGGAGACAGGGAGGGGAAGAGGAGCCAATGAAAGAAACCAGAAAGGAAGGAGGGGGAGGGAGGGAGGGGGGAGGGAAGGGGGAGGGAGGGAGTCTGACAGCTGGGTACTGGCGGCTCACACCTATAATCCTAGCTACTCAGGAGGCTAAGATCTGAGGGCTGCAGTTCAAAGCCAGCTGAGGCAAGAAAATGGGCGAGACTTTTATCTCCAATTAACCACCAGAAAACGGGAAGTAGTATTGTAGCCCAAGTGGCCAAGTGCCAGCCTTGAGCATAAAAGGCTCAGGGACAGCGCCCAGGCCCGGAGTTTAAGCCCCAGGACTGGCACAAACACTAAAAAATAAAAGATACAGGAGAAAAACAAGAAGGACGGAGAGCTCAGGACAACCACGGCTACACAAGGACAGGCAGGAACAGGATTTTCACACTCCAATCTTTCGACCCTGAGACAGACAACACATGAACGCGCCCACAGCCATGGTGACCGCCAGGCAGAGGCTGGGCAGCCCCGGAGGGGAGAAGACAGGATGAGGCAGCGGTCAGAGGAGGCGGGGGGGGGGGGGTCTCAGGAGTTGGAGAAAAGGAAGAGAGAAGTCACTTGAGGGACCCGACTCTGCCCTTCCAGCAGTGCCTCCTGAGAACATCTGAAGGCAAAGTGAAGAGCAGAGCACCTGCTACGAACATCAGGAGGCTACGAACATCCAGAGGATCATGGTTCAGGGCCAGCCCAAGCTTAAAAAAAAAAGTCCTCAAGACTCCAGCAAAAAGCCAGTGTGGGGGCATGGCCCAAGGGACAGATTGCCAGCCAAACAAGCCAGGTGAGCAAAAGCACCAGTAAGGCCCAAAGTTCAATCCAGGGCAGCACCTCCATTCAGAAGAGAAGTGAGGAGGGCGGGGTGAGATGGAGCCAGGGAGGTTCACCCCACTTCTCTGCCTTCCAGGTCCCATGTCCCCAACTCCGCACCCAGCCCTGGCTGGGAGGCTCCACAGATGAATGAGCAAGGGAGAGGGTGGAAACAGACCGAGTTTCCCGTGACCCGACTCCTCAGCCAAAGGCTTTGGGAAGCCTGAAAGATGAAGCATCCTGGGTCTCTCCGGAGTGACCTCCATGAAGCAGCCTCCACTGAGGGGCGCCAACCTCGCTACCATCCTCTCCCACCAACACTTCTTCTGCCTCCCCTTCCCCGATTCGCTGGGAGGGGCTGGGGGCTGGGCAGCCGTCCTGGCTCCTGGCTCGGGACCTGGATACCATCTCTTTGGGGTTTGTATTTTTGCTCAAGGCTAGTGCTCTACCACTTGCGCCACACCTCTACTTCCTTAGACATGAATCTCATGGACGATCATGCTTCGGCTGGCTTCAAACCATGATCCTCGGATCTCAGACTCCAAAGTAGTTAGGATTATAGGCATGAGCACCAGCACCTGGCATTGAGTGGTCTTATAGACTCAGAAGAGCCATGGAAACAGGGCGTGATCTATAAAGTTCAGATAAACTCCACCAGCCGGGTTCTCCGCTCCTGGTCACCCCACCCCCCAACCCGGCAGCCTCCCATTTCTCTCCCTGGACCAGGGGTGCTTCAGGCTGGGGATCTGTGAACTCCCGCCGGCAAGCCCGTGCGGTCCAAGGCCACCTGCATTCTTCAAGGCTGACCCTTCACAGCCAGGGGTAGGCATGGCCAGCTGTGCCCACTTTGCCACCACAGGGGCAGCGGGACAGAGACCACATGGGGCAGAGACCACAGCTGCCATGGTTAATGCACCCTGAACGACTGGCCCGCCCAGCCTGGTCTAAGCGAGGCCTCCTTCACCACGACCTCACCACCGCGATCCCGTGGCCACCCTCCACACTGCCACCACGCAAGTCCTCCCAGAGGCCAGGCTGCTTCAACCTCTGCCGCTCCACACGCTGCACGGCACCGTGTCTGACGCCATTTTCCAACCTGGCCCGCCTCACAGCCCTGGACTGTGACACACGCATGCTACTCCGAGTGACCGCTGAGTTCTACCTTTGTTCTCCACTTATTTTCCAAGATAAAGACTACTCAGAAGGATCAGAGGGCAAGAGTTTGGGAGACCCCATTTCAACAAGACGCTTGGCACAGTGGAGCACATCAGCTACGCGGGAGGCTGAGATCAGGAGGATTGCGGCTCCAGGAGAACCCGTGCAGAACAGTTCACAAGGCTTCGTTTCAGCGGAAGGAGCTGGGCATGGGAGTGTAAGCCTGCCATCTCAGCCACACTGAGACGCATAACAGAGAAGGACTCAAAGCCCAGGCCAGGGCCTGTACAAAAAGTTAAGACCCTGTGTCAAAATAATTGTGCACAAATGGTTGGTTGGACGCGTGGCTCAGTGGTAGAGCACCTGCCTAGCAAGCACAACACTCCAAGTTAAAAACCCAGTACTGTACAAAAAAAGAAATATTCAGGGCTGGGGGCACGGCTCAAGTGGCAAAGCATCTACCTTGCAAATATGAGGCCTGAGTTCACACCCCAGCACTGCCAAAAACAAAAATCAAACAAACAAGAAAACAACTTTCATCACAACTTCATAAACCAAAAATTAAAGGATCAATTAAACCTGCCAAAGGTAGAAAACAACTCTTCCAGTTAACACCAATACAAACCAAATTGTACTATTATATTAAAGGCAGGATTAGAGATTGGCATGGGACTACACACCTGTAATCCAAGCTCTCAGGAGGCTAATATAGGAGAATTGAGATTTCAAGGCCAGTGTGGGCTGAACTCGAGAGCAAAACCAACAAGACCATTTGTGAAGACTGAAGGAAGAAGAGATGGCCCACACCTGCAGTCCAGCTACAGCGACAAGTACAAAACAGGAGGAGCGCGGCCCCGTGATCATAGTCAACGCCAGGTTCCCCGAGAGCCTGCCATTCCCTCCAGCTCCACACCCATTCCCAGCCCTTTAAGGCTGTGCTCCTGCAGAAATGTGCCCCCATTGGGCTTTGACATTGGGCAGAGAAGCCTCAGGCCACTCAAACTGGGCCAAACGATCAGCAAAAGCAGGCTCTGTTCAACCCATCTCTGAATGGGCTGGTTTACGTTCCTAGTACGAGGGGAAAAGGGTTCCACACCACAAAAGCCTCAGAGCACCCCTAACACCTATCAGAGGACCCTCTATGAGGGACGGCTCAGCCGCAAAGCCCCTCCACCTGCCCTGTCTTTGTCTCCCTGAGACAGCTCCAGGCAGCTCTCCAGGACCTCACTCGATCAGTGAAGAACCCAGCTTCAGATGAAGTTTCATTCAAGACACATAACCAACGGGTAAATCCTGAGCATATGGATAGCTGCCCGGATGCTGCCCGGCCGCACTGGTGCCCTGGGGACGCGTGCCGGGCACTCCCATGGATCTGCAATCATCTGGAAACCACTGCCAGAGTCTTCCCGACAAATCAGTTCCCCATGGGACCTGGGAAGCGGGGAAACGCCTTCCTCCCGCCATGGGGGGACATACCAGAGCCTTGGTTAGAGCCGAGGAGAATGGAGGAGGGCGTCTCTCTTGAGCCAGAAAGGTCCAGGGTCTAGAAATACAATAGACACAATATAATACGCACCACAGAATACAATAGAAATAGAATACATATAATAGAGCACCTGCCTACCAAGTATGATGTCCCAGTACCAATTCTAATAGTCAAAAATCAATCAGTTCATTTGATTTCATGTGAGCCTGTTGTGGGCTGTAGTCAGCTAATCAATCTTAAGGTGTTCTTCCTGACAATTTCACTTGTCCTAATTCTGACTGAGTAGCTACAATGTAAAAGATCACCAACAGACTTGGGCTGCAGTGAATGTCACCGACAGCACACAGGGATGGGCAGGGTGACCACTGGAGCTGGTTATGACACCACTAGCCACAAATGGCTCCTGAAATTAAGCTTACTAATTACACACACACACACACACACACACACACACAGCCCTGGTGGCTCATGCCTGGAATCCTAGCTACTCAGGAAGTTGAGATCTGCCAGCCTGGGCACTAAAGTCCCCTAGACTTGTCTCCAATTAACATAAAAAAAAAAAAATAGAAGAAATGAGCGATGGCTCACAGTGGTAGAACACAAGCCCTTGAGCAAAAGAGCTCAGGGACAGAGCCCAGGCCCTGAGTTCAAGTCCCACAACTACCAACAACAACAACAAATCAGTTTCACGCTCACATAAGCCACACTTGCAGTGCTCAATGACTCCTTTGTGGCTGGCAGTTCCTATGAGGGGGCAGAAGAGAAAGAATTCCCACCATGGGGCCCTGAAGAGGGGCCAGGCAGAGCCCGGCCCACACCCACACCCACATGGCCAGTGCATTCCCACGGTGTAGACTCGAACCGGGGAACACCGGCCACAATGAGCCCATGTTAAAACTCGTCGTCACCTGTGGCCTGACAACCTGTACCGCACAGAGCTGGCTTGGGGGTGTTGCTGGCAGGGGGCCCAAGGTGCAGGGGTGCTCACCGAGCTGCTCTCCTTGCTCTTCTCGGCCGAGGCCTCCTTCTCCTTGGAGGCGCTGGCCGGCTCTGCAGGGGCCGGCTGTGTGCTGGCCGAGCTGCCCTGCGACGACTTGGCTCCCGCATCGGTGCTGGCCTCGGCCTCGGCTTCCGGCTGGGGAGCGGTGGCTGGGGACACGGGGCAAGGGAGGCATGCTCAGGCCATGTGGCACTTGTGCTACAAGACGGCTTCTCTGTGGGACCTCGCTCACACCCACAGCCCCCTGAGTCCCAGCCCCACCCAGCCCACAGTGACTGGATCTGTGAAAAGCTGTATCTTTTCCTCCTGAGCCATTGGAGATGGAAGTCCTCCTGGAGAGAGAAGCCAGGGACCCCACTCACACGGTGGGTGGCCACCGCCAGGCCAATGC